TTCTTGCCAAGAATCAATGCTCCCTTCGGGCAATCGGTTGAACCACTCATACGCGGGCCCCTCCAAGGTGGAAAGGAACCAGCGGCATAAGTACTCATCCGAGGCCCCCATCATCATCATACTGTTCTGATACCTGCTGTAGTGTTCTTGGGGATCTGTTTTCCCCTCGTATGGTTTGATGGGCTGCCCCCGATATTTATGGGGGATTTTGGCCGCCAGCACCCTTGGGGTGAAAGGCGTCCTAGTGCGGAGTTGGATGAGGGGCTCGCCTGAGCCTTCGGCAAGCTTACGCTTCATTTCCTCCACTTGCGCCCGGAGGTCGGCGTACTCTGGATCTGGCCTCGCCGTGGAAGCCGTCGGGGGCGCCTGACGATTCTCCTCGAGTTGACGGAGGAGGGCTTCAATGATTTCGTCCTTGGGATCCCTCGGGGCAACCCCTTGGGAGTTGGCCCGGAAGGATTGCGCCTGATTGATCTGGTGCCTGGCGTCATCGGCATGGAGGAGGGCTTTGCCTTTGCTTCGGGGGGGAGGCACGCCCTCGGCGCCCGAAGCAGAGGCTCCACTCTCCTGGGGCCTGCTGAATGCTTGTTTCCCGAGGCGGTCTTGGACCCCTCGGTGCCCGGGAACTCCCCCAAGCCTCTCAAGTACAGAGGTTCGGGGTTTTTCTTTCATCATGGGGCGCTTGTCCCTGGATTGGGCCTCTTGGGAGGCGGTATCCTGCGCATTGACCCCCTCGGCATTGCCAATCCCCGGGGGAGGATTGTTGAACAGAGGGGGGAGTGGTGGCAGTTGAATAACATTTCGTCCAGCGTAAGGCTGAAGGGGAGCCTGAGAGACGAGGGCCCCGGAATTGAGAGCCATGTTCTGAACAAAGGCCGCAAAGGCTGCCTGAAGATCGATGGCCGGGGCCGGAGGGGGAACTTGGTTCTCACTCCGATCCCTCCTTCGATTATCAAGGCCAATGCGGGCGTCAGGGGCGTTCTTCTGTAGCTGCTGACGGAGGTCAGCAGTAGCCTGCTCCAATTCGAGGATGATACCACCCTCGGGCACTAAGAGCCTGTTGGAGGCCTCAGCCCCGTTCGTTTCGCCGGGGGCTACGTGGCTTTCCTCTAGGTTTTTGGATTGGGCACGAGTGGTTCTTCCCATTTTTGGTAAGCGTTTTGTGTTTGGTAGAGGGGGAGGGTTTCTTACTTGATAGTTCAGACCTCTCAACGAGAGCACCATTGTTGGATAGTCTACCCGGGGGGTGTCTTATCCGAGGGGTTATTGCGGGAATAACTAGAGAGAAGTCAGAGCAAAATAGGAGGAGAGAGAGTCGATTTATTAAAATGAACTCAGCGTGTGGAGTTGAGGTGTAGATGATGTACATTGGAAGGAGAGATGGGCTGCTATTTATAGCAGCAATAAATGCGATGAGGGTACACGTGTCAGTAATCCAACGGCCGAAGGGTCACATCAACCGGTTGGCACCGGCAGTGGTACGTTCACCGCATTGAATGCGGTTGGCGGATGTGACGTGGCATTAAATGCGGTGGTTGGCTGTCTCCAAAAGGAATCTTCGATGATTGAGAGTGTTTGGCCGAAGGCACCTTGTGTGGCCGAGGGCTCCACGCAGCCACGGACCCCTGTGTAGCCGAAGGCCCCGAGTGGCAGAGGCTAAGTTCAGCCGAAGGCTTCCCTAATGCCGAGGGCTTGGTAATGCCGAAGGCTTATGTTTTTCGCCGTTTTCTCCCAGCAGCTTCGTATGTCGGAGAGGGCTACTTCGTGAGTTTCTGGAGCCTTCGGCCAAGGAGGCCGAAGGCACCCCCAGTGTGTATTCTGGGCTCCTCTGAAGCTTGGGCCATTGTATTTGGGCCTGAGGTGCTCCCTGGGCTCAGCGGGCTTACGTAGGAGAAGTAGGAGTCTATGGGCCGGGGGTTCCTGGGCCATATACTCCATCAGTTGGCCAGTTGCAAATCTCGATATTTGTGTTCACGTCCCCTTGCCTTTTATTTTTGCCCACTTCACGGGATGACGGGCCTTCAAATGCGTATTAGCGCCTCCGTATCCTTATGAAATCCCCAAACTTATACTTTTCTTACAATGTTTGAAAGTTGCCCACCACTTCTCGCTTTCCGGTTCGTTCCACTTATCAATATTATTTTTCATAATAAGAGATTCACCTTTCTTACCGGGTTGGGATGAACCAAGCTCATCCCCTTCGAAGGTTTCCTCATCGCCTTGTTCCGCTTCGGTTGTCGCCTTCTCATCCTTCGCGTCGTCATCCTCTAGCTCTTCGTTAATCTCGAGAATGTCTTCTTGTTGGTAAAACTGCCCATGTCCTTGGGTCAATAGTTGAGCAGTTGTTGCTCGGACGTCGTATCTCTCCATTGGTAATTCGTATCAAAATCATCTCGACTTTGTGAAGAAGAGCCGACATTTCCTTTACCTTTGCCTCACAAATTATGATGTTCTTTCGCCATCTCCTTCCTTCTGTTGTGGTTGAGGTTACCCATATCTACAGTATGTCTACAACGGTCCATCTTAAAATGTAACAAATATTAAATTCTAACAAAATATTTAAATGTGAGTACAATTACATTGCAACTAATATAAAAATTAACTAAAATTTCACTTTATGTAAAAAAAAATGTGAGTTTAATGTAACCAAATACTACGTAATAATGTAAGTAAAATGTATCTTTTATATTAAAGTGTGACTAGTATGTAATGTCACAAATATAAAAATGTAACTTTTATATTAAAAATGTAAGTAAAATGTGACTTTAATGAAAATGTAACAAATACTTACATGTGAGTGCAATTAAAATGTGACTTTAAAATTAAAATGTGACTTTAATATTAAAATGTAAGTCATTGATAATTTAACTAAAATGTGACTTTTATCTTAAAATGTGACTAGTATACAAGTCTATAAAATATTGAATTGTGAGTACAAATAACATGTAAATAATATTTATGGGTAACTAAAATGGTTGATATTAATATCTAACAAATATGGTTAAATAATATGATAATGTGACAAGTATAGTAAAATTAACTAAAATGAAACTACTTTAATAGTTTAATATAACAACTTTTATATGATTAATATAAATATCTAACAAATATGGTTAATTAATATGATAATGTGACAAGTATAGTAAAATTAACTAAAATGCAGCTACTTTAATAGTTTAATATAACAACTTTTATGTGATTAATATTAATATATAACAAGTATGGTTAGATATTAATATGATAATGTAACAAGTGGAGTAAAATTAACTAAAATGCAACTACTTTAATAATTTAAAATAACAACTTTAATATGATTAATATTAATATCTAATAAATGAGAATGTAACAAATATTAAAGTTGACAAAATGAGATTGTAACAAAATGAGAATGTAACTACTATTAATAGGATAAATTTAACTAATATGTATGACAATACTATTAATAGGATAAATTTAACTAATATTAATGAAAATGTAACTAATAGGATAAATGTATGAATGAATAGTGATTAATGGGAGTGTAAGTGTGCAAGTAATAGCAGGGGCGGATGCAAGATTTCATGTTGGGGTGGGTAGTTGTGTAGTAGAAACATGTCTCATGGCTACCAAAATATCCAATAACTTTTTTGAAGTCCTTGACAGATAATGCCCGTTGTTTCCATAACTTTGTGCATCAAAAGTAAATTGAACACAAATTCAAAACATGGAAAGTGTCTATATACACTACAAACTTATGTCCGAGAACTCACTTTTGAGAAATGTTCTTGAAGATACTCAAGCACTTTACAAATTGTTGTGAACATGCCAATCAAGTCCTTATACGTATAATTAAGTGCCACTTATTAAGTGGGAGGTGATGCGTATAACATTTGGATTATATTTTTAGATGCTAAGATTTTGTTTTATGGGCTGGGCTGAAAATATGGACTGGGCTATGAAAAAACTTGGGGTGGGCTAGATGGAATTTTTTAAAAATAATACCTTAGAAATAATATTTTTTTCTTACGTTCCCCTGGGCTTCAGCCCACCATAGCCCTAACATAGATCCTCCCCTGAGTAATAGGATAAAGTTAACTAATATTAATGAAAAATGCAACTAATAGGATAAATTGTATTAATGTATATTAATTAATTAAAATGTAACTACTAGAATAAATGTGTAAACTATAAATTATACTTTAACTAACTAATATGTAATATAATGTTAATAGTATATAATATATAAGTATACTACTATAAGATGAGTAGTACACTTATATTTAATACTTTAATATATATACTTAATATATAAGTAGATATAAAATATGCAAATATAAGTAGATAATAAGTGTATAAGTAGATACTCCGTATAATAATTGCATAACCAATTTAAATAGATATAATATACTCCGTATATTATTAGGTGTAGAGAGAATTGGAGAAGATGAAGATGATTAAAGAGTAATAGAGAGTGGGAAGAATTGGATAATAGGTGTAGGAAAATGTTTAAAAAATAGGTGTATTTATTGTTATTGTTTTACCCCAAACCCCCCACCCCACCCAGACCCCAACGGCTCTATAGCCGTTGGCAACGGCTAGGAGGCAGCCTAATAAATTCAAACATGATTTTTTTTTTGAATTTTGACCCTGGGGCCCGGAGCAGGCCTGGCAAGTGGCAAGGCCGGTCCACAAAATTTAGAGCATGTAGCCTGCTGCTTCTTTTTTCGGGTCGGGTCCTGGTCCCGATCAACCGGGATGGGCCGGGCCTGCACAATACCAGTCCGGGTCAGGTGTCGGGCCGGGTCGGCCCATCCCAGTCCACCCTTACTTCACATTAACAATGTAATCAAAGTTTATCAGAAGCCTGGTAAAAAATTCCAGAAAAATTAGCTCAAGTAAAAACACATCATTTTGCAATCAACATTATGCTGGTACCCATTGTCTATGTAATTCTAAGTGCATTTGGAAGTTTGCAAAAGAATTCTATAGTTTAGTTCACTGTGCTTATTATGTACGTAGTATTATCATTAATAAATTACTGATTTGAATATTTTTTTTCTCTTTATGGCTTTAATCTGATACTCCGTATACAATTGGAAATACTTTTTTTATTTTTTGGTAAATCTGACTGGGTATCCCAACAGTTTACCATAGACTCTTCGGGTCCATGTTGACCCTTGACCCGGTCACTTGTCTGGGTAACCTTCCGGTCCAGTTTTAAGAACATACTCCGTAAGTATTTACACTTCAGTAAAGTCAATCTATTCATAATATTAATAAACATGTGTTTTTATATATTTATCACAACAATCGGTAAAACAAAATCCCTAGAATCAAAGGCATCCCGAGCTGCAAACAGACAGCAACTCAGCTGAGGATATCACCGTCTCTGACGGCCAACCCTCTGCCCCGCCCCAAGTAACACAGCTTTGCTGAATAACCCCATGTGGAGGCTGACCAGGGCAACTGTTCCCCCTATGACCACCCATTTCCAGTCAACGCCCCCACCATTTCTCCTCTCTCCTGCACATGAAAGCTCACCACCTCTTCTTTGTTCCTCCCTACTGGATGCTACTTGATGCTCTCGGTGACTGTAATCCTCCCTCGACATCTTCGTACTGATCTGCGCCAACATGGCACACCTAGATATCGGCACTTCGGATTTCCTCATGTTTTGATACGCTCTGAATCCGGCGTGAAGCTTCTTAACGGTTCCCCACATGCCATGGCGGACGCCGAGCCTCGCTACATCCTTTGGAATACCCATGTCTTCGTAATGGGTGAGTGTGACTTCACAGGCAGATAATTGTCCGTCTCCCTTTTGAGATTCCACTACATCAACATTGTGACAAGTTTGGATAAGTTGTGGGAATTTTGATGATAAGAGGATGTGATAACCATTGTTATAGAAAGAGCTAGGCAACATGCCCTTGGTGGGCTTCATAAAATATACAGTACATGATAATTATTTTTGTAATTTATGTCCGGTATTTCTTTTTCTGATCATTTCTGTTGGGTATTTCAAAGAAATGTTAAAAATGAAGTAACCACCAATAAAATGTTAGGAAATAATAGAGAAAAAAGGTTATAAAGATTAGAAGGGAAAATGATGGACATTTAAAAATTATTTCAAACTCAATACATTTATTTTAGATTTTTGCTCGAATTTCTTTATTTTTTATTTCCATTATACACAGATTATCAAATCAAGTATAAATAATAAAAAAGTGAAAGAGTTCTTGTTCATACTTCATTTTCCTTTGTAGTTCACAAAATAATACCAAACATTAAAAAGTAACATCATTTAGAAATTCTTTTCCTTCTTCATATCATTTTCCAAAATCCAAACATACCCTTATGGAGGACGAGTTTAATATTCGCTTCAGCCTAGGGGTGTCTAGAGACTGTTTAGCCCGAAATTGACAACACTGCATAATTTACTAACCACTAGTTCATGAATAATGATAGAACCTACCAGGCCTGATAACCCAACTTGAAAAGTACACATCCACACGCCTGGGTTTGTCTCTCTTTGGCACAGCTGGATATGGAACACTCTGAAGTTGGATTCAACTGGGTTAGAACATAAAATCATGCACACTAGTGTTGTGGAAGTCCAAAATTTATTGTAAATGAGATCCACTAGATAGAATGCTGTTTGTGATTTTAAACTGTATACTGGTAAAAGGGTTTGTTTGGAACTCAGAAAATACTAAGGAAGAAAAATCGCGAGGAAAACAAAAACGAAAGTTGGAAAGAAATAAAACTTGGACGAAACTAAAAGTTGATTCATGCATTTTTCAAAAAAAGAGATGATTCATACTTGATACATTTATTTAAGATAAAGAGTCCAACTCATAATATTTTTCTTACATTAAAACTAAGAAATTTAAACATATCCTTAATCAACGCACTAGAGAAACACAATCCCATATTCTAAAACTACAAAGCCTTCAATTAGTATGGAGTACAATATAAAGTCGAAAACTTGGCAAGAACCATGCTTTATTTGAGCTTGGGCTATAAGTTAATAATAATCAGGTTCAAGAAGCTTATACCTTTGTCACACAATAATACGCTCTTCCGGATTCCCATATTCGCTTACCAATGATATACTCACGATCACTGCAGAAAAATGGAAACTGCATACAAACAGTTTCAAGTCATCTGAGTGTTATACATTAGTTTGGACAAGAAAGTGATTAGAATTATACAACTCGTCTCTAACCAACCTTTTTAATCCAGTGAACTATCATGAACCCATTTTCAGGACATTCGTGCAATATCTTGAAATATGCAAGCATAGGATCCCATTTGGGCCTAAACTCATCATCCCAGAAGAAATCTCTGACAAGCTCAGGAGTAGCATCCTCAAAAACAGTTCTGCTCTGGAGAAGCAACCCAGGTGGGTCTATCTGTGGGTAAAACGGTCCAGTTAAAAATAAAAAGTTGAACATGACATTGAAGGGGAATGCTCACTTATATCAAATTTTAAACAAACTAAAATGTATCTTTGTGTAATTGTGTGTGTCTATACAGGATGCCAAGAATGCCCTGGCAAAAGAAAGCCTAGGAATTGCATCCCACTATCCCAGCAGTTAACTAAGTAAAGCACGATCAATGTTACGGCCCCCTTGGTAGCCATAATCAGCTTATTCTGCCTATCAGCGGAATAAGTAGTCTCTGACTTATATGACTGAAATTGATGTTAACAAACACATTTTCCTTCAGAAAAATCAGCAAATTCAAGCTAAATAATTAAAAAACATACAAAATGAGCCCTATAGCTTCAATACTTTCCAAGCCATGTATATTATTTACCAGGGAATACATTGTTTGTCAAATGTGCAAATGTGCAATCTGCTACTCAAACAAACATCTTCTGAGTTAATCAAATTATAAAAAGTCCCAATCAGTCAAAGAGGTGGTCAGTGGTCCCTAGAAGAAGAGAAGGAATACTAAATCAATCTTCACACCACTACGGGAGAAAGAGAAAAAAACAGGTCATACATTCCACAGTAATTTAAAAATAATAATGCGATTCAGTTACATCCTTCAAATGACAACTATCAAACTATGTTAAGAAGGTATTGTTGGTCACAGAATGTTGTAAAAGAGACACATCAAAGACTAAAGTTCAAAACAAACCTCAGACTCATGGCGCCAAGCTTGGTATGTCATATTTGAAGTAGAGCGTTCCATCATGCATTGCCATCCCACCCCCTCTTCTTTTCCATCTAGGAGTAGCAGAAAATGTTTCAAGTCATTGTCTGTTACATCCTCTTTGTCTAGTCCGGCATTTCCAGTTAATGACCTGCATGACGTTCAAGCCTAAACTGAATAACTAATACTGGCGACCTATTTCGAGTATTACTTTAATAAAAGAAAAAACATTCAGATGCTCCCTCCTATCCTTATTATAAAACACCTTTTAAAAGGAGCCAATGGTCCTTTATACAAGGCATTGTGTTTCCTCTAAGAAGCATTTATTACCCATTGTTCGCCCCTAATACATATTGGTTTGATGTTTATTTATTTTCCAAAGCACAGATTTACAAGGCATAATAAAAAGATTAAAACGGGCGAAATTGGAATATCATAATTTATACTTTATATTAAAAATTAACTATTTTCTTTGGTCTGTGAAGTTTGATCAAAAACATTTTTACAATAAGCTCCAGAGGAAGTAGTTCTCTCTTCCAAAATATAAAAAATAAAAATCTCAAATCAATAGTATGTTAGTTCTTATAAGGTAACCTTCTTAAAAAATCATCTGTTAGATCAAATTAAGTGTAATTTCAAACCATAAACAACTGGGTTGTATCTTATATACCAAGGTAGTCTGCAATGAGATTCATATGAGATGCCCATGGATTGAAGGAAGTTAAGACCAGTGTGAGAGTGTGTTTGGACAATGTTGTAACAGTATTACTGTAAGAGATATATTAACTCCATAAAGAATGTAAGGGGTGCATCACATTTAAGTGCAAAAGAATAGTATGATATGAATCTCAAATACAAGACACTATATGGAGGCATGGGTTACTTAAAGACAATAGTCAATGTTATTTAACTCCATCCATATACATCATTCCTCCAGAGATCGGCACAAATTAATGACAGAGACAAAAAATATCAAATCTTTATCTAAATCAGAGATATCTTTTGATCATTTAATCATATTAGCACCGCCTTAATCTATTACGGAGTACAACCCAAAATATTGTAGATCTATAGCATTATTTACATTTCTGGAGAACAACTAATTGCTCCTATTGCTTTGTTTTCCTGTTTCTCCCAGCATCGTGGGTGAAAAGCTATCTTTCACTTTCTATTTGAGAAAGTGTTGCTTCAACATATACGGAAAAATAGCACTGAGCTCTCTTTTGAGAGTGTATGCAATGAGTGGGGCAACACATAAGCATAAAGCATAGCCACAATTGTTCTTAAATCAACCCATTAATCCGTAGAAAATGCTGTCAATAACAAATTCTCACCTATAGCATGACTTCTCAAAGAAAAAAATCATAAACGCACATAAACTGAGAATGCTTAAACTAAAAGCATCGTAGCATACTCGATAATATCATCAGTGCTTCTCCTCGCGACCAAATTCGAGGCCGTGGCCGTCTGAGTAGCAACTTCTCCATCCACCGAAGAGGAAACATCCTCCTTTACAGACGGTTTCCGCGTCCTGCCACGGAAATTGTTATTCCACAACCTCCTCCCGACGGAGAAGGCAGACAGAGCCGTGAACGCCAACCAGAGCCGGCGAGCACCGAATCCGGGAGGGACTGTCCACAAGATCCTGTTCAGCTTCGACCGCAGCCCGATAGCAACTATTCCCGTCCAGCGAGGCCGCCAGGACCAGCCAATCATGAGTCCGATCATCACCGCCACCCAAATCGGCACGACGCAGACCAAAATGTCGACGAATGCTTCCACCACCTCTGGCTTGTTGACCAGCTCAGCCAGACCCAACCACCACTCCACCTCCATTCCCTCTACCGATCTCCAACACGACGGAATGCGTACCGTACGCCGATGAACGCACGAATTCGTATTGGCATTAACGGGTGTACTCGGAAGGATTGAAGAGATGGAGATGGAGAAGCATTCGATAGATTACAAAGGACTTTGCGCTGAAACTCCCTTTTCTCTTGGCTCAATCAAAAAGAGGAAAGTCGGAAAGAGATAACGGAGGTTGTTGAAGAAAAAGAGAGATTCGACGTCGGACTGCGTCTGTTCTGACGGTGGATGACTATAATCTGTCACCGTTTAGCGCGTGGATGTAAGTGACGCGCGTAAGCTATCTGGTACGTAGCAAATGTGTGTAAGCACCTGTTTGTATTTAGAAAATGCTTAGTTGTACACACGTTGTACACAAAACCCCTAGTTGCCTGTGTGGTTGTGTACAAAGTCAATTCGTTAAAAAGGGAGCAGGAGTTGATACCAAATTGTCTGTGTACACAGACAATGTACACATTTTGTGTACATCTTGTGTACACCAAGAATGATCCTTTGTATTTACTACGTAAATTATTACAACAAACTACGCAATACGGAGTACGATAGTATATAGTTAAATTAAATAAAAATGAATTACCATAAACTAGGGGTGTGTTCGGTTCTTGCGGTTTGGTTTTGACCTAGAACCAAATATAGAATCAAAGTAAAAAGTTCGGTTCGGTTTTACACTCCAAAACTTGGAAACACGGTTTAATTGGTTCGGTTTGTTTCGATTCGGTTTCGGTTTTTTCGGTTTTTTACCAAAAAATTATCATTTGATTTAAAATTGATATAGTACTTTGAGGGATCAAACATATACTTGTATTACATAAACAATGCAAGCACACTACAACAAATAAAATAAAAAGTAAAATAAATAAATATCTCATGAATTATATGAGTATGCGAGAGAGATAAAAGTATATATTATTAATTTACATGGTTTGTGACTAGTTCAAAAAAAGTTCATGAGTATATACGTTATATGTGATATAGTTGAGATAAATATTTATTGTTTCATCAATACGAATTCTTTAAGTTAAATAAAAATAAAAGTTAGTTAATACTAATAACAAGTAAAAACATATTATTAGTATAGCTACATTATTACGTGCAATGAATGTGTAAATGAATTCATAAACTAAACTAAACATAACAAACATTATTTCTCTAGCACAAGAAAACCAAAAACTATTAATGATATTAGGATTAGTTAGGATTAATGCTTAACAATGGACAAATAAATTTTATATTTTAACTAGTTCGGTTTGTTCGGTTCGGTTCGGTTTTGAAGGGTAAAAACCAAAACCGAACCAAACAACTACGGTTCGGTTCGGTTTTTTACATTCGGTTTCGGTTTGTTAGCGGTTCGATTTTATTTGGCTACGATTCGGTATGATTTGATTCGGTTTTCGGTTTTCGATTTTTCGGACCCAGCCCTTCCGGCATAAACTATTTAATTGAATTCTCAATGATGAAATATATTACTGAGTTTAAAGGTAGGTATTCAAATGATAAAAGGAATAGTCTACTAAGTTGAGTGTATTGTTTAAAAAGTTTTTCTTTTAAATATTATTAAAATAAAATTATTTACTATAAAAGAATGACTAATATTATTGTTGTAGACTTGTAGTCACGGTATATAATATGTCACACTTTACAAATAATTTTTATTGTGATCATAAATATGTACTCCTTCCGTTTCCAATTCTTTGACATAGTTTAACTTCACAAAAATTAAAGAAATTATTTACTAAGGTTAAAATTTATTGTTTGGACATTGTTTGGACATTATCTGGACACTGTTTGACATTGTTTGATATTGTTTTGCAATATTTTGTTTACCAAATGAGACATATGGTATTTATTTTGAAACGTCCAAAAAAAGAAAGTGTGTCAAACAAATGAAAACAGAGGGAGTATTTATTTCTTTTTTAACTGTGCAGTTATTTTCAAGAATTAATTTGAATGCGTTCCCGATTGAAGTTTTAGCTGAAATTTGGTATGAGTAAACTAGACTTAATGAATAAGATGTTCAAAACTTTTCATCAAAAAAATCCACCAGGAACCGCCTCAAATGACGACGACCACACAGAGCCTTCTATAGAAGGACTTATTTGACATTTTTATTAAAGTTCGGGAACCTATTTTACACTTTTCCATAAAATGTAAACGATGGGATAAGAGTACAAAAATACCTCTTCTACGTAAAAGTTTGGGTACGATGTCAACTGCTACTTCCAAGTCATGCTTTATTGAAATGAACTTACAGAGATCGGCACAATGTGTATTGTTTTAGTCTTATCTTGTTTTTTTATTTGAATGGCAGTGTACTTTATTTAAATCGTGTTCAATTTGAGAACTAAACAAACTTATTAGTCCATACTTCTATACTTGGTCCATACTTTTATAATTATAAAGTATATCTGATTTATTTCCAAGAATGTGATATTATATAATTTACTTAAATCAAGTTCAATTTGAGAACGACATAAACTTGAAAAACACATTACAAGTCCATACTTTTATAATTATATTATACAGTACGTATATACTCCGTATGATTTAGTTCAATTCATTATTCATTGAGAGTCCCGCTTCAGGTAGACGCCGGGTTACACGTCGGGTTACACGCCGGTCAAATTATCTATGTTCAGACAATTCAACCGATTTAAAGAAGAAAATCGATTTCCATAGCTAGAGACAATAAAACCATCACATTTCATATGCTGTCAAGGAGGTTCCTGCGGTACGAGTCTATTGTGTTCTCGCACTTCATTCTTTCCCACCTTCAAATTCCTTACTCCGTACTTCTCATTATTAACCCATCTCAGGACTTGCTTAAGTGCTTTAAGAAGTTAGATCCAGGGGCGGACTGTAGTACAGATCCAGGGGGGCTGCCGCCCCCCCAACAATTTTTTTTTTTAGTATATATATATACAAAATTTTTATTTTTACCCCCCAACATTTAATTCTCGCCCCTCCAAGAAAAATTTTGAACCCCCCCAAAAATATTTTCTCCCCCAAAGCATAGCCCACTCGCAGAAACCCAATTGTTTAAGAGCCTAAAAAAATAGAAATTTTACAAGTAACATTATATCAACTCACTCCAAAATTTATTCCCCATTAACCCACCCCAAAATCTAATCCCAGCCCACCGCCCAGACCAAACTAATGAAAAACATGCGCACCTAGAAGAAAGAAACGGAAAGATCGATTATTTTTAAATGATTGTCCTTATGCCTACTATGTTTATTGCTTAGCACATCAGTTGCAATTAGCATTGGTTGCTGCTTCTAGAGAGGTGAAATATGTGCACAATTTTTTCATCGATTCATTCTTTATTATTAATGTGACTAATTCTTCTTGCAAACGAAGTGATGAATTAAAGGAAGCTCAAGCACTTGAAATTGCAAGAATGTTGGAAATTGGTGAGCTTGAAACAAACAGAGGACTTAATTAGGTTGGTACATTACAACAAGCTGGGGAAACTCGTTGGAGCTCACATTTCAATTCTGTTTGCAGTTTGATTAGGATGTTTGCTGCAACTTGTTCTGTTTTAGAAGATTTTGAAGAGAATGGCAATAAATATTCTACTCGTGGAAATGCAGCTAGAGAACTTAAGAAGATTAAATCTTTTAATTTTGTTTTCTTGTTGCATCTTATTAAAGAAATTATGGGCATTACGGATCTTCTATGTCAGCATATACAGAAGAAGTGCCAAGACATAGTAAATGCTATGCATTTGGTGTCAAGCACCAAAATGTTGATCCAAAAGTTAAGGGATGGTGGATGGGATAACTTCTTAGAAATTGTTAAAGAGTTTTGCACAAAGCATGAAATTGAAGTTCCTAATATGAAGTCTCCTTATGCGGTAAAATGCAAACGCCATGATCAAGAAGGGTTTGATATTGAACGTCACTATCGGGTTGATATGTTTTACGCAGCCATAGATTCATAATTGTTGGAGCTGAATAGCAGATTCGGTGAACAGATAATGGATCTTCTTACTCTTAGTGGTGCTTTGGATCCTAAGGACTCATATAAGTCTTTTAACATTGATGATATCTGTTCTTTAGTGGATAAATATTACCCCTTTGATTTTATTGAGCAGGAGAAGGTGAGCTTGAGGTTTCAATTGCAACATTATAAGTTCAATGTTCTAAACCATCCAAAGTTGGCGAATTTTTCTACAATGGGTGAACTTTGTCAAAGATTAGCGGAGACGGAGATGTCAAAAGTGTACTTTCTTAGCTTGTTGATAATTTGATCCTACTTTTGTTGACTCTACCGGTTTCGACAACAACAACCGAAATGACTTTTTCCGCAATGAAAATTATAAAAACAAGGCTTCGCAATAAAATGGAGGATGAGTATGTTGCAGACAACCTTATTGTTTATATTAAAAGAGAAATTGCTAAAACTTTTGACTAAAAAGCCGTGATTGAGGAATTTATCTCGTTGAAGAAGCGTTGGGTACAATTCTAAGGTACTAACTTTAACTATTTTGTAATAATATATTTGTCTCTTCTTCTATTATAATGTTTCATTTAATTACTACTCCGTATTATATTAAGGTTATAACTTATAATAATAATCGCCTAGATTTTTTTTGTTTAAATTATCGCCCCCCAATATCAATTTCCTGGATCAGACAATCTTTAAAATGAATAGTTCAAAAGCGGCTGAATTTAAACAACTATTTTGTTCAACAACTATTGTGTAAAGAGAAATGGTCCCCAATAAGATCAAAACTTACTCTATTTACTTAAATAGGAGTCTAACTTTTTTTAACCTTAAATAAGACTACTTTTAACCAGCCTACCATTTTTACCCCTGCTGCCTTTGAACGGCTCAGAGGATCAGATCTGAAACCTCAGCTTCTTCATAACAGCATACAGAAGCTCAGACACTACTCGTACTCCGATTGTGACGGTGAAGGCGGTTAAGAGTCGGCGGCGGAGTCAGCGGCAGCGGACTGATCCCTTCTACGTGTGGTTTCTTCTACTCTTCTTCTTTCGATCTTCCTTCAGTCCTTCTCCTGCTCTGCTTATCCTCATCTCCTTTCTTCTCTAGCTATCCTCTTTTTTCCTCCCTTTTCTTTTGATTCTTCATTACATATTTACATTACGGCGAGGTAATGGTTCTTCTTTTAATAAATCTTCTTCTTTCATTTTTAATTGTTCTTCATTCATTATTTTGACTTTCTGATTTAGTTGTGG